AGGACCAGAGCAAGCTCAAGATGCAGCAGCGATGATGCAATCCACCTGACCCAAGTCTCTTCCACCGACGTCCCTGCAAGCCTATCCTTTTCACTGCGAGAGGCGCCCCCTTGACAGACCAGCACGCCATGCGGCTCATAGTGAATTTGACTTCTTCGGGCCTTCCTGCATGACCTCCTGGAGGCCTCTGGGGCCGTCTTGGAGGCCTCCTGGAGGCCTGTTGGGCCGTCATGGGCCATCTTGAGGCCACCTTGGGCGGTCTTGGACACGTCTCGGGTCGTCTGGGGAACATCTTGCGGCCATCTTGGGCCTTTTTGGGGTTATCTTGTCCGTGTTGGAAGCTCTCGTGGGGGTCGTGGGCACTATTCTGGCTGCTTTCGGGGGGCTCTTGTGCCGTCATCGGGGCCATCTTGGAGGCCTCTTGGGCGATCTTGGGGACCTCTCGGGCCGCCTGTGGCCGTTGGAAGCCGAGACGGGGCACATGCCACAATCAGCCAGCGCCCATCGGAAACTGGAAGATTTCGGCTTCTTCGGGCCTCCCTTGAGGACGTCTTGGGTGCTCTTGGATCGTCTTGGGAGACTCTTGGGGGCCTTTTGGGCCGTCGCCTGCCATCTTGAGGGGTTCTTATGCCTCCGTGGGTGCTTCTTGTGCCGTCTTGGAAACATCTTGCGGCTATCTTTAGCGCTCTTCAGGCCATCTTGGCCGCCTTGGAGGCATCTCGGAGGCCACCTTGGGCCATCTTTGCCGTCTTGGAGGTGATTTGAGCAATGGCAGACGTATGTTCGGCGGTTCTCCGAGTGGCTGGCGCGTTTGGCCGACGGCCCCTTGTTTTTATGTTTTAAATAAGGTTTCAAGCCAACCTGAATCTAGCCCGCCAGGCCCCCCTTTGCACACAGAGGGCGGCTGATCTAAAATGCCTTCTGCGAACCATCGCCGCCCTCTGCCTTTTGGAAACGCCCATGCGGCCAAACGTTGGCCCGACGTCTGGCCAAGCTATTGGTGTCCCCCCATCCGTTGTGGACCTCATTGGGGGAACACTGGGGAGATGGAGAGAACTGAGGAGGAGAGGGAGGGGACGGAGGAGAGGGAGCAGGAAGAGGAGGCCTCTTGAGGCCTTCTTACGGCCTCCTGGGGCGTCCAGGGAGCCTTGTAGTAGGGAGCTCTACGGGGCCTCTTGGGGGCCTCCTGGGGCTTCTTGGGATTCTCCTGGGGTTTGTTGGGGATATCTTAGTGCGAAACGGCAGTACGTTACGCGTCGGCGACACGGTGCTCGCGACAGTGGCGACCATGATGGCGGCGACCAGGACCGCGGTAACGACCGTTGCGACGGCTACGATGATGATGAGGATGGTGACGGTGGTGGTGGTGGCGATGATGATGATGATGATGATGATGATGATGATGATGATGATGATGATGATGATGATGATGATGCTGATGATGATGATGATGATGATGATGATGATGATTATGATGATGAGGATGATGATGATGATGCTGCTGATGATGATGATGCGGATGATGCTGATGATACTGATGATGCTGATGATGATAATGCTGCTGCTGCTGATGATGATGACACTGATGATGATGATGCTGCTGCTGATGATGATGATGATGATGATGATGATGATGATGATGATAATGCTGCTGCTGCTGCTGCTGATGATAAACTCTATTCGTGAGGTTGTGGTTCGCAATATTGGGGTTGTGATTCGCGCTGGCCTGCGCTGTGGCCTCCTGCGCATTCCATCTGCCCTTTGCTGGGGGCTTTGGCTTTCACAGTTTGCTTTCATAGATTCTCGCAGATCCTCACCATGGCCTCCTGGTCCTCCATCATCATTCCTTCTGCCTTCCTCTTTATCTCCTCGTCCACCCCCGCGCCCTCCCTCCGGAGGAGCCTCGAGGGAGGAGGAGGGGGAGGAGGAGGAGGGAGGACGGAGGACGGAGGATGAGAGGAGAGAGGGGACAGGAGGGAGGAGGGAGAGGGAGAGGAGGGAGATGAGGGAGGTGGGAGAAGGGAGGAGGGAGGAGGGGTAGGAGGCAAGAGGGTGGAGGAAGGGAAGGGAGGATGGAGTGGGAGGAGGGAGGAGTGAGAGGGAGCTATAAGGTGGGGGATGGGGGAGGGAGGGGTAGGAGGAGGTGAGGGAAGGGAGAAGAGGAGAGGGTGGAGGGGGGAGGAGGAGGAGGAACGGGAGGAGGAGGATGAGGAGGAGGAGGAGGCGGAGGAGGAGGAGGAGGGTGACGAGGAGGAGGAGGAGGACGAGGACGAGGGGGAGGAGAGAAAGGGGTTCCTTCGTTTTGGTAGGACGGTGTTCCGCTTGATTCCCCAAAGTGGGCTCGCGAGGCAACCCCAGGGATACCCTCAGAGGGCTTCGAGTTAAAACGCATAAGCAATCGTGTGTGTATGTATATCTGTCTATAGATCAGGTGGTACAGATATAACATCTGATTAGGTGTGAACATATATATATATATATAACACAGTGCTTGCACGTG